TAATGTAGTTTCACCTGACAACAGCACACATGAGAGTTCTAAAATAAGAACAAGAAATCTGGAGTTGAAGTACAGACTAATGAGAGGAACTGAAGACACCAAAAACTAAGTTACAGATACAGTATGCGCAGGTTTCCAAATAACTGCACAATTAAGAAATCCCTCCTCTCACAAAAGTACTATTTATGCTGTGATTTAGTTTAATAGATTATGGTGGACATCATGAACTTCAAACAAATGTCAATTTTTCGTATATAACCCAACCCATTGAGTGTTCAGCAGGTGACCCTACCGGGCAATTTCTCTTTCCTCACAAAATACCCATACAAATGCATTTTTAGAAGAGATTATTACAAAGGCATCAGCAGCGACAACTTTAGCTGGTTTTTCCCTTCTGCATCCCAGGTACAGAAATAGTACTGACCATCATTACCCTGGTTGAGATCAGCAAATTCCTAAGCCAGGCAGGACTGCAGTATTCCTGCACACTGCTGACAACAGACCGACCAGCCTATCTCATCAGCAGGGCTTGGAGAGGAAGCCTGGTCACTGGCATGAGGGATTCTTCCCACTTGGCTCCTGTTAACCCTCTAAAATCCTAAAGTTAGGCTTGTCCTAGTTACACAACCAGTAGGAAGCTTGTCATATGCTCTCAATGACTCTTAAGCTTGGCAATGGGTTTTGTATGCGTCAGACACCCAGCTAACCAAAACAAATTCCATCTGTATCTTCTTACTTCCGGTTCTAGCATCAACTAATCCAGCTCAGTTAACTCTCTTCCCTCCCCTCACCCTGACCATTTCCCCCCTGCTCGGGTCCCGACCCAACTGTCCAGCACCTTGGGATGTCCTCCCGACGTGAAAGGCGCTCTATCAAATGCAAGGATTATTATTATTATTAGTCACTTCAAGGCCCGTCCCTTCTCAACCCTTCATAAAAAAAGAACTTATTTAATCAAACATGTCTTCTTCCCACCTTGCCTAGTGACCTACATCATCCAAATAAAGTGCTTCAAATCAATTTTCCTATGTGAAAAACGCTAAGTGCAAATTGGTGTTCTTGAACGTGAAAAATGTGCATTACCAACTCCTCTAATTCGACTTCCTTTCCGTACTCTCCAAATTTCTATGATTTGATTCTGAGATCACTTTTTCGAGTCTTGCTTTACAAAATCTCACCACTTTTTGTAAGAAATGTATTCTTGCCTGAATCCTAATCAGTTTTGTCTTAATGTCATATATGGTGAATCGTAGTAAACTAAAATTGAAAAGTGAATTTATAGATTGAACTCATTAAAATCATTGTTCAGTACATTCATTGGGCCCTATTTATCCTCAATATTTTATATCGCACTGCTAAAATTAGCAAGACATGTCATTTCAATATGTTGATCTCTAAAAGCCATTCATTGATACACCATTTTTTTAAAAAACTTTTAAGAGTTCATAGTACAGCAATAGTAATGCTATGCTACCTCTTCAATGTTGTTGCAAGATAAAAATATTTAATGAAAGGCCTTGTACCCATTTAATTTTAGAAAACCAACATCATTCTCAGAAAGCTAATCTTCCTTTCAACTCTTCCAGCTGTTAATTACCCTCGGCATTAAAAACAGTTTTCTTGGGTCTGTCTTAAAATTACTTCCACCGCCGCTTCCCTTTATCTTTCGGCCTATGACCACAACTGAAAGTTTTATTCAACATTTACTTTCTCTACCCTACATATCTCTGTATGATTTCAAGTGTTAATAGCCCTAGTACATGTATATGTCAAAGCTCAATACAGATGCATTCTTAAAAATAAAGTTACGACTGTGGAAACCTAGTTGTTATGAATCACCTTTTTATCTCATCAAAAGAATGAATGTTAGCTGAAGAATCTTAGCAGAGTGGCCATTTTAATAAACGTTTATAATGTCAATAGCAGAAAAACTGCTATACAGTTATTAGTTTTAACCTCTGTCATTGGAATAGTATTTCGACAGTTTCAGCATTTTGCTAACTCCAATTCCACCCTCTGCCCCCATACCTCCATGCTAAACAAGCAAACATGAACAAGCAGACTTCCACACTGCCTTCTCACAGAGAAAGAGCTCATAAAAACTAAATAGAAAAATATAATCTTAAACATTCAAAATGTCTAGTGTGACACTGAACCAAACGAAACATTATAAAAAGGCTAAAATGCAATACAATACCAGCTTTCAATGCTCAAAACAATACACAAGAGTCCAACTGTCAAGTTGAAGACAACTTATTACTTTTCTGAATGTGCAATAAAATCATTGCTTGGACAACATAGAATAGACTCCCAATAAAACCTTAATTAGACAAAATAGGTTTTAAGTTCTCTGAATTACCATCTCACTGAAAATAGCTGTATTTTTGCAATACAAACTACAAAGGAAACTTGGCACCACTTTCAAGCAGCATTCTTCACTTGGTGGTTTCCTACCAAAATTGCTCAATTTATCTGATCCTTTACCCACACCAACCATGAATTCTTAATTGCTTTAGGTTTATTAAATGAAGCAAAACTAGAAGGTCAATTCAGTATCTATGACAATTTCCCAAGATTTATTTTCGATCCACAAACTGTTGAGGATATTTTCTTTTAAAAATCCAAGTAGAATACAGGGATAGGAGTCAGCTGTTAGTTCTTTCTGAACCTCAACTGAATATTCTCCATGGTTTTAATCCATCACAAAATTATTTTTTACACAACACCAAAAGCTGGAAATAAGCAAATTCTGGATTGTGTTAGCAAAACATGCTATTCCTTACAGAAATTTATACTCACAATAGTATGGCTACCGAGTACATTGCTGCACTTTAGCTTAACATCAAGACAATGCTGGCTACAAAAAAGGAAAGGCACCACCCAATGCAATAATTGGAATTTCTGAAACATTTACATCAGCTTTTTCAAAAAAAAGAAAAATTTGTTTGGCCACCATTCAATATTTTTCACTTATTGGAACTCACAACACCAATTTGGTCTTGTAGCAATTTCACAAAATTAAAGGAATTTGCTTAATCTGATTTTTGCAAAACTGGAGTACTCCAAATTCCACCCATTTCAAAATAATCACCCTTCACTTCCAATATGGACTCTAATCAACCAGTTTTATAGTAAGACATTGAAATACAAAGCTCTACATAAATAACATGGGCTCCAATAATAACTGCATTAATACAAGCATCTCAAAAGCAATTCATATTTATATCCAAAACAACATAGAGCAACTTGCAATTTATATTCCATGGAAGCAGTGGCGATTTAAACCACTGTTAACTGAAAACAGCCAATCTTTGTTGAATTACACTGAACATCCGGAGACCCACCCAACCATACCTTTTTTGTACAAAATTCAGCACCACCTCGCCATCGCGCAGCTTTCTATGAGTTGCTTTTAACTCTTACAAAGCTGATCAAACATTAAAAATAAGGAACTACCGTAGAAATTCCCATAGACTCAATAGCAAAAACGTACAATATGAACCCAAAGTAATAATAATTTTTACATTTCGTACAGCACCTTTCACATCGGAAGGATGTCCCAAAGTGTTTCACAAAATAAAGTATCACTGAATCTAACCACACTATGGTTTCCACTTCCGAATACATTTTAAAAACATGAGAACATGATGCATATGTACTTTCACTTGCATTGTCAAATATATTTAAACTATTGACAATTTAATTAAAACAATAATACCTAATTATAAAGGAAAAGTTTTTTTTAGAATTTTCCAGTGCAGTACAAATGTACAGATCAGTATTGTGTTCAGATGCAAACATATGCTTTGCTACTCTGCAAGGAACCCAATAGCATTCAAGATTCTCTCCACCCAATCAAAATGGATAATGTGGATGTACAGTAATACCAACTTACAGTATATAGACTTGACACAAATATCCTCTAAGCCAACAGGATTGTGCTATTATCTAAACAGGATATATTACAGAGTACCAATTAACTATAGGGTTAACTGTGAAAAGAGACTTCAAAATTTAAAGCTAAAGATTCCACTGCCTCAACTTTTTTTTAAAATCCGATTATAGTGTGTCTGGCATGTTTTAGAGAATTACCAACAAATGAAATGATACATGGTGAGAAACCCTAAGATACGATTTAGATCACTGAAGTGGGCTGACTTCAACTGAGGAGCAACAAAGTCACAATAGAGTTATGGTCAAGTGAGAAATGTATCAAAGTCTCTCATCTTGAACTGACATTACATTTTTAATTTGAGTTCGACTTCAACTTTGGGCCGAACGTTTATGCCATTGATGGAAATTAGACCTATTCTGAAGTTGAATTAGTATATTTGAAACCACACATATTTTTTAATTAGCTCAACAGTATTTAGCCATTCGTATGCTGTATTAGTTTGTACATTTACATACTGTATTGCCACCCCCAAAAGATCCTGAAGGGTACACCATATTTTCTGCCGTGAAGCTGGAGGGGACGTGGGGGATTTCCTGTTGACACATCTATCTCGACAGCAGGAAAAACCCACAGCTTCACGGCAGAAATCACTCTTTAAAACAGGGAAAACCCTAGCAATGGTGAAACGCATTTTTTTAAAAAAGGAACTTCTTACTCATCTGATGCTCAACATAAAGAATAAACGCCCAATGCCCGACAAGAAAAATTATAACGCAACCAGACAAAACACAACCATTATCCAGGCATATTAAAATACTGCAAATGTATCGCAATGCAAGGACTCTGCACTATCATTATAACAATGACATATTAAAACAACTGGCCTGGGTGTCAGGTCACTGTGTGGATCGAGCTCTTATTTGAAGGGAGTGCTACGTTAGGTCAAGGCCCAGGGATGAGCGCCGCCGCCCAACACCGGCTCTTTTCTCTCATCCTTGCACGAAAAGAGACAGCGGAGAAATGCAGCAGAGAGTCGAGAAGCTGCGCTCCCGCGGTCCCCGCCCGCCCGCCCACCCGCCGGGCCGAGCCTCACTCACTCACTCACCTATTGTAGAGATAAAAGTGGTGTTAAAGGCGTCGTCCGAGAACCTGAAGAGGACGCAGGTTTTGCCCACCCCGGAGTCTCCGATCAGCAGCAGCTTGAAGAGCAAGTCATAGGTTTTCTTCGCCATAATCTCTCTCGCTCTCTCTCTCTCTCTCTCGCTCTGTCAGTCGGTCGGTCGGTCGGTGTCTCTGGGGGGGGGGGGGTTCAGTGCCGCGGAGAGTTTGTCTTACAAAAAAGAGAGGAACAAAATGGCGCCTCTGTGCTACTCACACTTTACCACCGCTTCCACCGCAACAAGTTACATGCTACGGTTTCTTTTTACAACCCCCTCCTCCTCCCCCCCCCCCCAAAAAAAAAGAAACCGACAGACGGACTAATCGTCCTCCTCTCGCTCGCTTTCTCTCCCTGATATTTTTTTTAAAAAAAACTTTTGTTTCACTTCGCTAAGACATTCGGTCGGCGACCGCGGAGGAGAGCTCACTCGACGTCAATACATATCCCCTGTGTGAGCGAGCGAGCGAGCGAGTCTCTCCCCGCCGGGCCTGTCGTTCAACGCGCTCCTCAACCACGCTCACTGCCGCCGGATGTCCCGCCCGCCGCATGTCGGCTGTCAAGTGCCCAACGCCTGACTGGACGTGGAGGGTTTGGGCCTCGTGATTGGTCACTTCGTGCGTCAATCTAAATAAGACTCCTTCCCCCCCCCTTCCTATCCTGCCAGCGAGTTTGGTTGTCCTTTGTGTGGGGTTCGGTCGCACCTCATCCTGGGAAGTTGGACTCGATTATGTCATTAGGGCGTGATCGCGCATGCGCCAGCGATAAAGTGGCTCAGACACACATGCACACACACCAACACACCCAGTCATACACACAGAGAAGCAAAGGGGACAAGGGATTGGTTTTGTGGGTGTGTGATTGCTTTTGAAAGATTATGGATTCAATAAGAACACCTGTCACTAACACCTTTCTGAGTGCATTGAAACAGTTTATACGACTAAGTAATGTTGGCTTGAAAACCTGGATCTAAAGCGTAGGTACAGTAATTGTCCTGGGAAAGATGCACTTATGATTTTGCTGGAATTCCAGATGTTCGTGTTTCCAACTGATGGATTTTTTAAAAGGATCGGTCTGTCGTTTTATTTTGAAATATTTTGTTTAATTATTATTTTTAAACCTATTCATAAATTATGCCAGCGTACATTTATAAATAGCAAATTCACTCTGACCTATTCTTGGATCATGAACAGAGGATAGTCGAATGATAACTAGGTCAGACTGTAAGTGGATGGGAAGAAGATACTCAGATAATGGTCTTTGAAGATAGTAGGCCTGGAAGAGGACTAGGAGTTGTCCTTCAGTGATCAGATTTTGTAAATAGTTTTCCTTTAGTTCTTAGTTTTTAATACTATTAACAGTAAAATTGCAACATTAGGATTTCTACTATTGACAATGCTGAAGTCAAGGACTTCTTCCTTTAGAAAATCATGAGCTCAAAGGTGATTCCAAAACAAGATAACAAAGGTTTAAGAACATAGGAACATAAATGCTAGACGAAAAAAGACCAAGGCCCATCTAGTTTGCCTTCCACCTTCCTGGCTGTTGCATGCACATATGTCACAAACTACCTATGTGTACTATCAAACTATCCCATAATGTTATTTCCTAAAAGAAAACGATCTAATCTGTGTTTGAAAGAATCAACACTTCCTGCTTCAACCGTATCCCTAGGGAGCCTGTTCCACAAGTTCACTATTCGTTCACTGAAATAGTGTTTGAGTAGATTCGTTCTGAATTTACCCCCTTTCAATCGCAGGCCGTGTCCTCTGGTTTTACTATTCATGGCAAGTTGAAACAGCCTGTCATCATCTATATTGTCTTGCCCCTTTAGGGTTTGGGCGAAAGAAGGTTAAAGATAGGATTCCTAAAATCCCAGAGGGACTGAGAGTAATCCATAAATGTAATGTTGTTGCTGTTGTAATCAATCGAACTGTATCCTGACAGAATACCACGAGAGAGACATAATGACATAAGCAACAAGGGAGTTCTTACAGAATTATTCCCAAACTAAATAAGAGAACAGCTCTCCAGCCTCCTCTGTTCCCAGATGGGAGAAATTTGGTCTCTCACCAAAACACAGAAGATAGTCCAAAACATAGAAGACAGTGGAGTAGTGGGGGATTTCTGTCCCTCAACCCTGTATTCTAAGGGTTTACCTCATCCCTTGAGCGTGAGGGTGGTACATAGTTGGTGTCTATTCTACAGTGTATAATGTTTTGGCAGCAGCACAGCGTGTAAATGGAAATTGCCAAATGGAATTACCAAGAATCTTCTCATTATCCTTGGAAGCATAGAGTGCCATTATGCTGCCACCTGCTTAACCACACATTAACCAGCATTGTAGCTTTCTGTTCACCAACAACAAATTACATTTGTATAGCACCTTTCATGTAAAGTGGACCTCCCAAGGTGCTAGACAGTCAGGGATCTGCATCCGAACTGGTGATTGGGATCAGGAGTAGTGGAGGGCGGGGAGGATAGGGGTGAGGAGGGTAAAAAAGGAAAAAGCCAAGAATGTAAAGATGTGAATGTGATCTTCAAACAATTGTGAGAGTTTTGAATATGTATAGTTACTTGTCTGTTCCTCCCATGCTGCAGAATCGACCTTCACAGTGCAAACAAAAGTAATTCCACAGCACCATGAGGAGCTCAAGATATTACAGAACATGCCTTGTGCAGAATCAGTTCTTTAATGTTAATTCACCAGTGGAGAATGAAAATAATGCTTTAAAGTCCCAGCAATGCATAAGTTGATTCTGTCAATGAAAACAAGCTAAATTCTGGTGTGCCATTGTAAATGAATTAAAATAAGCTTTTTGACATGGATTCAGTGGCATCTCATCTTTAACAATATTGAATTATGTATGGCGATGGGTTTAGACACCTAGCTGGCCAAAGAAACAGCATTGAAATCCAAACATTTGCAATTTAGTACCTATTGGCCTAGTGGTTGCTAATATCAATCAGTCAAAGTTTCGACGCTTTAATCCATCAACATGACTTGCATGAGTAGATTTAACAAAAAAAGCCATGAATGGTGTAAATCTGAATAGTTGAATTCTGTCCGAAGGATCAAACTCAGAACATTAATCTATCTTCCATTTTCAGTTGATAATCGATCCGCTGCCCATTTTCTACTTACATTTCTGACTTAAAGATTCCCTTGACATTAAACATCCCTTGACACTATGCAAAAAGAGAAGGGAGGTGATGCCCTGGCCAGTAATTCTCCAGGTTGAATGTTCATTCACCTCAAGGTTGTTAAGGGAGCTTGCTGGTGCAAGTGGCTGCAGTGCTACAGGTGGAGTCCTGTAGCTCAGTGGTTAGAGCACTCGCTTTGCAAGCGAGAGACCTGAGTTCAATTCCAGGCAGGTCAGGGCGAAACCTTGGGCAAGTTTCCTTACTCCACACGCCTAATAATAATCCCTCCAAAACCAAAAACAATAATAAATTGGTCATTTTTAATCTACGACTGTTTGTGGGACATTGCTGTGCGCAATTGGCTGCCGCGTTCGCCCACAAATATACAGTCAATTCACTTTACAGTGTGTTCTGTGAAGCGCTTTGGGACGTCCTTCCGACGTGAAAAGCGCTATATCAAATGCAAGGATTATTATTATTAAGTACAAAAACTGTCACTACCCGTGAGAGTAGCCAAGTATAATGGGGATGAGATATTTTGATGTGATATTGTCTCTATACAAATGCAAGTTCTTCTTTCATTATGTTAAAACTCATAAGTCAGGGGAATACGTTGGTATCACTTCCTACATTTTAATGGAACTGTTCTGAAAGGATGGTTCTTGCTGACCTATCTGTGTCACAGCCTCATTTCCTGCAACAGGCTTTTCTGAAAGTCCCACTGTGGCACTGGCATGTTGCCTGTTGAAACAAGTATTCACGATACCTCCCAGATTCCAATCTTTAACAACGCAGCAAAATTGCCATAATGGATGACAGGTCTGAAATTTCACATTGTCTTAGCCTGTTAAACCACTTTGTCTTAATATTGATATTGAAGTCCACCACTCAGTGGTTAGAGCATTCGCCTCACAAGCGAGAGACTTGGGGTCAATTCCCAGCAGGTTTTATTACTCCACACACCTCTGTTTACCTCGCAGTATGTAGGAACCTGGTTGTTAGCGATTTGCAGATAACTTTTCCGGTGGTAATAATTCCTTCCAAAAATAATAATAATAATCTAATTTGGTCACTCAATCCCACAAACCCTTGTGTGCAATTGGCTGCCGCGTTGCGCCCACAAAATATGCAGTCAATTCACTTAACAGTATATTCTATGAAGTGCTTTGAGACAAACTCTAAGACGTGATAAGGCACTACATCAAATGCAAGGATTATTAATATTATTGTGTAGAATTTGGGATCATTCTTGAATTCAGTCTTGATTTCGAAGATAGTTTTCTGCAGTTTTTTAAAAAAAATAGTTTCTACCTTAAAACAGAATTGAAGAATTGTTCACAATTATGTGTAATTTTAAATTTGAACACAAATGGGGAAATTTAAAATGTTAAGATAAATGGAGAAAATTTTGTGTGAGCATTAGATGCATTGCCTTTGCTGATGTCAGACACTAAATGTGAATTTCCATTATAATTGTGCACGACCAAATTCCTTCCAAAAATAATAATAATAATCTAATTTGGTCAGTCAGTCCCACAAACCCTTGTGTGCAATTGGCTGCCGCGTTGCGCCCACAAAATATGCAGTCAATTCACTTAACAGTATATTCTGTGAAGTGCTTTGAGACAAACTCTAAGACGTGATAAGGCACTACATCAAATGCAAGGATTATTATTATTATTGTGTAGAATAATAATAATAATCCTTCCATTTTCCCTAAAAATAGGGTTGAGGAAAGACTAAATGGAATTTTAGGCATAATAACAATCCTTACATTTGATATAGCACTTTTCACATCTTCTAAACGTCTCAAAGCACTTCACAGAATGCACTGTAAAGTGAATTAACTATTTTTGTGGGCGAAACGTGGCAACCAATTGCACACAGCAGTGTCCCACAAACAGTCGTGGATTGAAGTGACCAATTTATCATTGATTTTTTTTCTTGAGGGAGTAACGAAACTTGCCCAAGGTTTCGCCCTGCCAGGAATCGAACCCAGGCCTCTCGCTTGCAAGGCGAGTACTCTAACCACTGAGCTACAGGACTCCACAATGATGTTATTTCGCCCTGTTCTTTGTGCATTGCAAGGTACAGGACAACCCCATTATAACACATTTGTATTGGTCGAATATTGTAGTAGACATGTGATAAGTGAATTGTAAAAAATGACCAACTTCTGGGTTGTCTGGGGTGACATCACTTCCACTGTGCAGGAAGTGCCTCTAATGTAACTTCTTGCATGCCGTACAAGCATATGTACAAAAAGTGCCACTGTTGTCGCTACCTTCAGACATGCGCAGTATTCAGGAAGTGACCTTCAGCAGGACTTCCTTTGCACAATAGTCAATATGCACAAAGTGACATCAATGGAAACTTGATACCTGATAACCCAACGGAAAAC